TAATTAGATACACAATGCCCAAACACACACTCTGCATTCATTATATACACACTCATTGCACAAACACACTCTGAATTCACTATACACTACACACACTGCATTCACTATACCAGCACTACAAACACACACTGCATTCATTAATCAAATACTCTCACTGCACCCACTACACACACATAGATTCTTGAAAACATCTTTGTGCATTTACCTTAATAAAAATAATTTGCAAAATAAATAAAATAAACATGTTCAGTTAACAGTAGATTTGTGTTGAAAAAAAGTTGTTGTTTTTTTAAAATGGTAAATGCACAGAATATCGGCCTGATATCAGCTCTAAAAAAATCAATATCGGTCGATCCCTAATTTAGGAGTTGCATCACTTTTGTTTCTGCCCATGCAGTCCCAGCCACACCTCTCCTGGCAGTAACTCTCAGTCTGCTTGAAAATAAAATGGTTTTATTTTTAATCAGATGTAACTTAGTATAAAATTTCTTGCTCTGTAAATTTAACTTTACATATATAAGGTAGACTCCTGCAGGGTCTAGCAAGCTATTAACGGAGCAGGATATAAGATTTTAAATTAAACAGAATTTGCAATAAAGGAAGGTAGTTTATGCAGCCCTTGGCACACCTCCATGCATATGACTTGCACAAAGCGATTGAACTCCAAAATGAACTGAGCAGTAAGACTGCAGGAGCATGATGTATACACCAAAATTGCTTCATTAAGCTAACGTTGTTTTGGTGACTATAGTGTCCCTTTAAGTAACACTGTAAAAAAAAAAAAAAAAATTCTAACCTTTGAACTTGTAACAATCCAGTTTTCTTTTGGAACAGTGTTAACTACAAGAACTTAAACAGAAAGTTGAAGATATTAATAGACCTCCTTTCTAGAGATGCACTGAAATATTTTGGCTGCCAAAATGGGCCTGTCCAAATTACCCTCCCTCCCCCTGTCCCACGGTGTTCTACCCCCCTCCCCCTGTCCCACGGTGTTCTACCCCCCCCCTCCCCTGTCCCATTGTTTCTACCCCCTCCCCCTGTCCCACGGTGTTCTACCCCCCTCCCCCTGTCCCACGGTGTTCTCCTCTGAAATGGGAGGCCCATTTTTGGCAGCTGAAATTTTGCTGCATTCCTAGCAATGAAATAATGAAATGCAAAGCAATGGAGATCTGATAAAGATTTCAGTCTCGCTGCAGTCTTATTGATGCATGGGCCACTGTTTGTATTGCAATAGATCTAGTCTGTTACACATTATTCTACACTGTGTGTGACGACCATTCATTCAATTGTTTTAGGGGCTTGCAGAGCTGCTATGGCCAATGTTAATAATGAAGTCTACTGATATTTCCCTTGTGTGTTATGTTCTGGGAATAATCTCCTCTGCAAATGCCAAGTAGAGAAAACATAACTGCCCTGGTCTCAGAACCATTAATATTTCTATATATTTGTGAATGTGGTGTGCATATCAAGCAATGGTTTTGAGAGAGATGCATAGAAGTTTGGTGGCATGGAGTTGCAATTTTTTTTTTTTCGTAAATAGCAAAGTTTAACGTAACATAAAGAGTAAGTTCTACAGTGAAGGATAAACCGTAAATAAAGCGTATTGATGATACAGGAGATCAATGATATTTAAAACTGTGCCGGTACAGGCTAGTTCATTTAGCAACATGTGTGGTTCTCTTAGTGTAATCCTGGTTATAACTCATTATATCTTGATGGCCAGCTAGTTTGAGTGGTATGTGGTACTCAACCACAGTGTTGGTTAGAGACCCGTGTAACTATGCCCATGGATCGTTGCTTGTTGGGCTGACCCTTGGGGTGTTCTGTGTGGGTTGACCCGTACTCCGCTTCGGGTGAACGGCATTGGAGCCTGATGTATCTGGGACTCTAACGTAAAATAGCATGGGATGCTAGACAGTGGCATAACGTGTTGTAGCTTTTGCGGAAGAGTGGCAGGTTCATAGGTCTTCTCCTGCGACCGAAGAGTCGGCAGGATGCAAGGTGTCCCTGGAAAATGCGATCATTAAAATGATTGCAGTATGAGCTAGGGTGGCCCTTTTAATGGCATCTGTGTTCGTGAGTCCCTGTATTTAGTACTCTAGTGGGTAGGGCCGCCCTGCTTGCATTGTGTGAGATAGCATGTTCAACTGGGCTGTTTAAAAATAAACTACCAAAATCATAATTAAAAGTGGACAAAACTATAATAGGGCTGAGGATGGTACATTTGGGGTCAGTGCCACTCCGCATGAATGTGCTGTATGCTCTTAGGATTTTGTCTCTGGGATATGGCAACTGGAGCCGTGTCGTTAAGGTGAGTAAGGGTCCGCCGCCCTGGCAACATAAGAGCCCGTAGGTGCAAGGGAGACTGCGTGTAGCGAGTTGGTGCTTAACAGCAGGGGTATATTATATGAAGATAAGATGAAGGTGCAAACATAAAACTTAACTAACGGTCATATAACATTTTCAATCTTATGACAGTATTAAGACCGTATTGTTACGATTGCCTCCGGTCTATACTTTAACAGACATATTTCCCATTCCACCATTCATTATGTAGCCCAGTTCTGAGCGCAGCAGATGGACGCATAGCGCTCAGAACTCACGAATGATATGGCTAGGTTCCTTGATATAAAGTCAATTCGTGTATTTTTGTCCCGAAAACAAGATGGCGGCCATGTTTTTAGGTTTGATTGATGGAAAGCGGGACATGGACCTAAAACCCCTGGAACGAGTAACGGCTGAACAATTACGCGAATCCCGGTCACAGGCTGGTTGTCTTACCGAACGGAGACCGCCATGAGAGAGGGTACTTAACTTGCGGTTAACCACAGTTTCAACGTTCTAATTGGCAACACACACCAGGATGCGGGATAGTCAATTATGCTTGTGGTTGACCGCAGCTTCCCAGCGGTCAATTAGCGGCACGCTCCGCTCATGGGGTGGTTGGCGGTTCGGTACTTTCAAAGATGACCGGGGTTAAGTGGCGGCACACGCCAAGGGCTGGATGGTCCGTCGTTCGTACATACAAACTTGCCCTTGATAAGTCTGTATAAAATGTAAGGGCCATGCCCTCAAAAGCGTACGGTGAGTTACCCCTGATTGCAGTCATGACTGCTTCTTTGTCCTGTTGGTTCTGGAATCTAACGATTTAAGTCCTGCGGTGCTGCCGCTGGGGCCGTAGTTGGTTTGGGGATTCTAAACACGCCATCTAGGCTCACCCCTTTAGCCTGTTTCGGTGGGAGTATTGCGCTCACCAGGTGCCTCAGGAAGTTAGGCAGTTCAGTGTCTGGGACAGAGTCTGCTATGCCTCGTATCCTTGAGATTTTGAGCGCGGTGTGAGTCCTCCAATACAGCTATATTTTGTTCCATATTTAGGTGCTGTTGTTGCAACAACTTTAGCTTCTGTTACTGTTCTGATTACTTGCCGTGTGTGACTGCGGGAGTTCTGCTCCAGGGTTCCCATGCGGCCTATCAGGCCTTGGATATCTTTCCGTATATCAGCCTGGATGTTCCGCCGGAGGTCCGCCAGCAGGTCTTGCGTTACCGCCTTCATGACTGGGGCGGAGACGGGCTGTGGCTTGGGCTGCGTTGGTACCAGCGCTATGGGTAGAGTTGCTCATCTGAGTCGTTGATATTGGCCATCATATTGGGCTCTTTCTACAATGTTTTTAAAGATGAACACCCCAGAGATCAATCTGATTTAGCATTGTAAAATGAGTTAAAGATTAAGTGGCCTATATTGCCCTAGGTGTATGATTTGATATTACATTGATAGTCTAAGTATAAGCAGACTGTAAAGGTTTTATGGCCTCCCAGAGTAACCTCTACCTTACATACCTGTCCCTTGCTCTCCTAATGGGCAGCACTCTACTCTATCCTCCAGCTTTTCTTCACTCCCACCTTTTTTAATGGCCATCTACTGCTCTATTGTGTTTTATACAGAACCTATAGCCTGTAAGCTTGTTTGAGCAGGGCCCTCTTCAACCTATTGTTCCTGTACGTTTTTGTAATTGTCTCATTTATTGTTCAATCCTCCCCTTTGATACTATTGTAAAGTGCTATATAAATAACAGCAATAATAATAAAGTCAGAGACCTAAGAAAATTGTAAGGATTTGCAAATCATATTGACTGTGGTAATTTCTGGTAGAGTATAAGATGCTTAACAGGGTAGGTTATCCTTAACCAATGGGGCAGCAGGGGGAATTAACTTTTGCTAGCAGCAGTAATGTTGTATTACGGAAACTTATCAATATAGTGCATGAATTGGTATTTGTCTTATGCAGTGACGATTTGGGCTGCATACATAAGTTTTTGTTTGGTAAGATCCCAAACAATGACTCCACATATACAAGATCAAGAAACTTTAAGAGAATGACAGAAACCAGAACAAAAATGAAATGCAGATTGTACAGCTGGACAAATGTAAACCTCACCATCACTAATAGTCTGGTGTCCGGGTGGCACTCTACTCTGTGTTGGCAGGATCCCGAGTATCTATAGTAGTTTGTATAGCTACTTGGCACAGAGGTTCAGTGCTGTTAGAAATGCTGGTGCCTATGTCCAAGGTGTGGCATGTGAGTTTCAGTGCTGTTAGAAATGCTGGTGCCTATGTCCAAGGTGTGGCATGTGGATGTCCCCCATCTGTAGCCCTCACCAGCTGAGCGCAACAGTTTTGTGATATGGCTGAGGGACCTATGCCATTGTAGGGTTGCCCTTGTGAAATACTGATAAAATGTTGAGTCCTCAAAGGAGTACTGTTGTCCCACAGCACCAGCAGCATGTTCCCTTGTCTCGAGAAGTGGTACAACAAAGGATGACATTGCACTTGATAGTAGATGAGGACTTGGTTGGGCTAGGTAAACTATATGCTCCATCAGTAGTAAATCTAGCCATATCTCTAGGTAGGATAGATACCAAGAGATTCCTTGGGTAATGGGCAATTCCTCATCAGAATTTTTAGTTAGTACGCCACTCACTTTAAAAATGAATGTCTGTAGCGATCGTCTGGAAGGGGTGCCAAAAAGGTAGATCCCCAGATGATCTAGAACTACAACTCCCATGATTCTTTGTATTCCTTTAGAATGACAAAGCATCATGGAAGCTGTAGTTTTAAAACATCTGGTGATCTACCTTTTGGGTGCCCCAGTTCTAGTGTGTTAAATTGCATAGTAAATGTCTGGGCATTTTGGAGCTGGTGGAGTCTCTCTCTCACATCAGATATCCCAATTTGGATGTCCATTATATGCTCTTCTGAAGGGCTCACACAATCTTTGATCACTGCTAGGTCTGCCGCCAACAACTTTTGGATGTCATACAAGTGGGTCTGTATGTCTTGTTTAGTAGCAGGGGTCGATCAGTCTAGGGACTCGAAAATAGTTGGGATACCTGAACCAGGAACATGTGAAACTTGTGGCATGTCGCTCAGGTGAGTCTAAAAAGCCCAAAATGTCTGGGCTCTCCTTAGTTGCTTTTGCCTCTGTAGCATGGTTCCTGTTTCTCTCTGTTCAGCTATTGCACCAGTTTAAGGTTTCTGGGAGTGGTGCCTCATAATTGGAGAGTTTTCAGATGTAATAGGTAGGGGGATGATAAAGTGTTCCTGGTTCATAGTCTCCATGCAGCCCACCAACTGGAGAAGGCAATTGGCTCCCGATCTATATTTCTGCCTTACCAGTTTCGGTGTATGAAAGAAGAGCATCTATCAATGCAGAAAGATTTCCTTCATCCATTTCGGGTTAGTTTGGAACTGGATGGCTCTTGTAACAGGAGGTATTCCTGTTGTGTCTGTCCAATTTCGCTGGCGAGCGCTGTCCCCGTTAATTTTAGAAGTGTCCCTGCTGTCTGGTTTATCGAGGTGACTTTTAATTGCTTCATCTCTAAGGCTGTATATACGAAGTGATTTAACTCCCAAATGGCAGAGAATTGAGCTGCGAGACTGCAGGGCATGATCTATAAACTATAACTGCTTCATTAAACTAAAGTTGTTTTTGTGACTATAGTGTACCTTTAATAATGATTTAACACAAAACAGAAAGATGAAGCATGGGAATTCCAGACACTATAACCACTTCAATGAGATCTAGTAGTGTCCTTTAAAACACATTTGATAAACTTGTCCTTTGTATTCTCATATAGATACCAATTAAAACAAATGTGCCATTAACTCCTTAAGGACGGGTGACGGACGAGGTCCGTCACAGAGGGGAGATCCTTAGTGACGAGTGACGGACCTCGTCCGTCACAGGTAAAATTAACCTGGGATCGCCGCTATCGAGGGGTTAATGGTGCTCCGGTATGCCTCTGCATTAGAGGCATACCGGGAGCACCCGGTCAGGCTGCCCAGCACATGCGCTTGCTCTGACTGCAAGTCAGAGCGAGCGCATGTGCTCTGTATACTCACCTTCCGGCTCCCTGCACTTCCTGGTTCTGTGTGAAGTGCAGGGAGCCGGAACAGTGCTGATCCTGCCCCCTGTAGGAAAAAAATAGTTAAAGTCCCACCCCCCTTTACCCATTTTAATAAAAAATTAACCCCTTCCCTGCCAATTGATCACTGATTACAGTGATCAATTGGCAGGGATTACATTTTACTATGATCTGTTTTTTTTTTTTTACCCCTGAGGGTTAATTTTTTTTTTTTTTTTTAACCCTCAGGTGTTAAATTTATTTAATTTAAAATATTTTAAAATTATATATTTAGCTAGCTGGGGTGGGTGGAAGATAGTGGGAAATTGGGGAATTTGGCATTAGGCTAACCAGGGGTTAAAGTTTTAAAATAAACTTTAAAAAGTTAAAAATTAAGCTTAAAAAAAATGTTTTAATAACATTTAAGTAAAAAATAAAAAAAAAACCCACCCCCCTTTACCTAGTCCAAATAAAAATTAACCTCTTCCCTGCCAGTCGATCACTGCCCTCAGCGTTTAAATACAGATCACCGTATTATACTGTGATCTAATTTTTTTTTAACCCCTGAGGATTAACTTTTATTTTTTAACCCTCAGAGGTTCAATTTATTTAATTAATTTAAATATTTTATAACTTTATATTTTGCTAGCTGGGGTTGGGTGGGAGTTATGGGAAAATGGGGAATTTACTGTTAGTGCTGCTTACTGCTAGTTAGTGGTTAACGGTAAAAGAAGGCTTAGAAAAATGTTAAATCTGTAAAAAAGTTTTAAGAAAGTTTAGGAAAGTTTTAAAAAAATTAAGCAAAACAAAAGTTTAAAAACTAGTTTTTAAAAGTAAAAAAGTAAAAAAAATACATTTTAAAAACTCTCATTACCACTACACCTGGAACAAACTAGGGAAAAAATTATCCCACGCCAAGGTTCAAAATATGCCTTTTGAATTACCCCAGGATGTATTCTTTAATAAATAGTATGTGTTTGTGGGGAAGTTTCAATAACCAACCATCTAAACTACTCCAAATTGAAACATGGACACAGCGTAAAACTTCAAAGTTAGAAAAAAACTGGCTGCGTCTCAAATGCGCCCCTTCAACATCCACATATACCTGGCAAAGGTACATACGGGGTATTGCTGTACTCAGCCGACATAGCTGAGCAACATATGAAGTATTATACAGTCATAGCACACATAAGGTTTGCAAAATATGCTGCGCAAACTCACTTTGTATGTCAAAAAGGCAGAAAAAATGCTTATTGCCACTACATTTGGTACAAGCTAGTGGAAAAATGATCCCACGCTAAGGTTCAAAATATGCCTTTTGAAATACCCTGGGATGTCTTCTTTAAGAAATGGTATGGCTTTATGGGGTAGTTTGAATGTAAAACCTGCGAAGATGCTCGGAAATTGCACATAGGCCCAGCGTCAAAATTCAAAGTTCGGTAAAAACGGATATGGCTTGGTCTCCTATATGGCACTGTAGCTTCACAAAATAGTGCCAAAGACATTCATATGGGGTGTCATTTTACTCAGAAGACTTAGCTGAGCATAATTTGGGGGGTTTGAACTTAGTGGCACATATGAAATATACAAAACGCCCAGCAAAACTGCAATCCGTATGTAAAAAATGCACAAAATTATTTTTTACCACATACTTTGGCATATATTGGTGAAAAAATGGGGGCATGTTAAGGCACAATATGCACCTTATGAGATACCCTGGAGTGTCTACTTTTACAAATGGTAGGCCTTTGTGGGGGGTTTTTTGAACAGTCAAACTGTCATAATACCCCAAATGGAAGCTAAGGCTCATTAAATCCATCTCTCAAAATTCTGTGAATACTAAAAAGGACGGGTATCCTGTATGGCACTACTGTAACTTCATGAAATAGTGCCAAAGACATACAATGGGGGTGTCATTTTACTCAGCAGATGTAACTGAACACAAAATAAAACTTTGTACAGGAATAGCACACACCAACTTTACAAAATTTTCTTTGTTAGAAGTATGTGTGCCAAAAACCCCAAAAAACACAATTTCACTCCAATATTTAGCAGAGGTTGGCGGCGAAATGGCTACGTAGAAAGTGTCAAAACAACCTTAGGTAAATAACCCGTGATGTCTACTTTATATAAATATTTACTTTTGTGTGGCAATTTTGCTTTCTTTTATGGCTATTAAGATTACAAGACAAACATACCAAATTCTAAGATCGCTCTACATTAAGTCTATTTTACTCCTTGTGCTTTGTGACCTGTAACTACCAAAAAAAACTTAAAATCCCAGACACATTATATATTCTGTAAATCAGAACAACTAAATTAATTTATTTTTAATTACTTTTCTTAACCTGCACTAATTATGCACACATTATTATTGCAAAAACTGTGTAAAAAAACCCCACAATTTTCATTTAAAAAAAAAAAAAAAAATTTCTGTATTTTTTTTATAATAAGCATTTATATATATGTGTGTTACATCAAATTAAAGCCCTTTCTGTCCTTTAAAAAAGATGTATAATATGTGTTGGTGCAACAAATTAGTAAAATGCAAATTGCAGTTGAACGCAAATAGCAAAAAATGACATTGTCATTAAGTGAAAGACAAGCTTTTGAAGCTCTGTCCTTAAGGGGTTAACCAAAATCTGATAGAAAAAATAAAATATATATATATATATATATATATATATATATATATATATATATATATATATATATATATATATATATTTATTTTATATATATAATTCTCTGTTTGGCTTGTGTCTTGGGCTTTGAGTTTTTGAGCCTCCTTTACATATACTACAGAAGTACATTTTAATGCTGTGATTTCAGCACTGGGAGGCTGTTTAATACTGAATTGAAAAACTTGCTCTGTGGCCGAATGATTCCCAAAAGGCTATATCTTGGATATTTACTTTAACTACAAATGGCACGTACATTCTGTGAACTCTTTAAATTATGTTTCCTCATCACTTTCAAAAAAGGGAGAGTGTGTTTCTCAGGTATGTCCTTTTATACTCCAGAAATCAAAACCTGATGATCAGAAATCACTTTTAGCATGTTCACCCAACAGTCATTATGAAATATTCATATTGTGTCAACGAAGTTCCAATGTAGTCAATATATCAAAAGACAAAGTAGGGAAATAGTTGTATGTATTTTCCCTACTTTGACAAAAGGGATCTACTGCCGTTGCGTTTTGTCAATTCCCTTAGCTGTCACTAGTTGGGGCGGTGAAAAGACGTTGTCTCACTGATGGCGAGACAATATGGCACCTGCAAGTTCCTCAATAGACATGTTGTACTCCTGCAGATGTACGAAAGTACAGTACATATATGGGCTTCTGGCAGAACAAGAGCCAAAGAAACAAGATGGTGTGCGCTCATGAAGAACAGCTACTGGTAATTATATCCTGCACACTAAGGCGATGTCGCCATCAGAGGTTTTTGCATGTTTTGGTGGCAGAACTGCTGTAAAGAAAAATCATCCATTATGAAAGTACAGACTGTAAAAATAACATTTATTATTTAAATTTAGTATATATAATGTATAGCATTGTAAACGTTTTCTTAGTTTTGTAAATATGAATATGTTCTGGAAATTAATAATTGTCTGCTCTACCTTTTGTAGTTCTTACATTACATAAACACACAAACTACCAGGCTTTCAAAGTAATATTCAGCAGTTGCTGGATATTTATTGGAGTGGTACCTTGTAGATATTTCTGAGAGGGTGAAGAGCTTGGAGGAATTCTTCTTG